AAAAAAAAAAAAAAAAAATCATATGGAACCAGAAGAGACCTAGAAGAGCAAAAGCAATTCTGGGCAACAAGGGAAAGGCAGAAGGAAGCACAATTCCAGACTTCAAGTTATATTACAAAGCTACAGTGATAAAAACAGCATGTTGTTGCCAACAAAACAAAATAAAACACTCAAAGATACCCCCCACCACCAAAAACACCAGACTTATGGATCAATGGAACAGAATAGAGCATCTAGTCATACTCAGCTACCTCATCTGTGACAAAGGGACCAAACACTTTTGCTGGAGGAAAGATAGCCTCCTTTAGAAATGGTCCTGAGAAAACTGGCTATTCACATGCCAAAAATTGAAGCTAGATTCTTATCTCCCACCATGCGGTAAACTAAAATAAAAATGGATAAAAGATTTTTTTTTTTGGTACCGGGGATCAAACTCGGGTCCTTGCACTTGCGCAGCAGGTGGTGAAACAAAAGATTTTAATATTAAAACAGAAATCCTTAATCTGCTGGAAGACAAAATAGGTAAAACTTTTGAAGACAAAGGCATAGGCAAAGACTTTCTGAACAGAACCCCAGTTGCAGAAGAAATAATACCAAGATCACATCAAATTTAAAAAAATTTTACACAGCAAAGGAAACCATCAACAGAGTGAAGAGACAGCCTACAGAATAGAAAAAAAACTTTTTTCCAGCTACTCCTCAGACAAAAGACTAATATCTACAATATATAAAGAACTCAAAAATAGACACCCTAAATTTAATACTCCCAATTAAAAAGTGGGCATCTGAAATGAATAGACAATTCTCAGATGAAGAAATATAAAAGACCAATAAATGCATGAAAAAATGTTCAGCATCACTGGCCATTTGAGAAATGCAAATTAAAACAACACTAAGATTCCATTTCACTCCAGAAAGAAATAACAAATGCTGGAGAGGCTGGGGTGGGGGAAGAACACTTCTTCATTATTGATGGGAGTGTGAACTGGTAAAACCACTATGAAAATCAGTATGGAGATTCTTCAAAAAACTAAAACTAGAAATTCCATTTGACCCAGCTATTCTCCTTCTAGGTATCTTCTCAAAAGAGTTAAAGACATGATATTACAGAGATACATGCACATCCATGTTTATAGCAGCACAATTCATAATAGCTAAGTCTTGGAAACAGCCTATATGTCCATCAACAAATGAATAGATAAAGAAAATGTGGTATTTAGTACTCCTGTACTACGGTGCCATAGAGAAAAATTAAGAGAAAAAAAAAAAATTAAGTTGAGTTGTTTGTAGAAAAATAGGTGCAACTTGAGATCATAATGTCCACTAAAGTAAATCAGACACACAAGCTTCAATATTGCATGGTTTCTCTTATATGAGAAACAATATATATAAATAAAGCACAAAATAGAAGATGGACATAGGAGAAAAAGAGAGAAAGCTATTACAATCCAGTGTGGCCAATGTATCTAAAAGTATACCTTGATTTAGTATAATTGTCTTACGTTTTTGGGCCTGTTATGGTTTGTGTTTAGAGGTCCCCCCAAAGCCTCACGCAGATGAGTTGGGACTTTCCTTTTCAGAGGTAGTTGAATCTGGAATGTGTGATGCTGGGGCTAAGGACATGTGATTACTAAACCACTACATGTGAGTCATTAGTTTGGCACCGCCCTAATCCCCATGGTCTGAATAAGATAAAATGGGCAGAAAGATGCGGTTAAACTCTCTCTCTCCCTCTTGTTACCTTTGCTGCCTTGTGCACGCCATGTTGTTTCTCCTCTGCAAGGCCTGTTTGTCATCCCTGCCTTGGAGCCAGCCGACTATGGACTGAAACCTCTAACTGTAAGCCAAATAAACCTCTTCCCTTTTAACTTTGAGTGTCAGGTATTTTGTCTCAGCAATGAGAGAAAGATAACTAAGGCGCTTGTTTGTCTACTTGTTAATATGTGTTTATGATAAACTGATATTTATAAAATAAATAAATGAACCTGAGGCTGGCAAAAAAAAAAAACAGGCATGGAGGGGAAGGGGAAAATGATTTGAGATATGTTATGTACATGAATGGAATCATGATGTACTGCAAACATACAAATAAAAATTTAAAAAGAAAAGAAAGAAAAGAAAAAGAAAAAGCTGGGGCTGCAGATATAGCTCAGTGGTCCCTGGGTTCAATCCTCAATACTTGAAAAAAAAATTATGGTGGTTGATGATTGTATTAATTTCCTAGGGCTGCCTTAATGTATTAGCACAACTGGGTTGTTTAAAACAAGAGGAATTTGTTTTTGCATAATTTTGGAGGGTAGAAGTTCAAAATCAAGAAGTTGACAGGATTTATTCCTTCTGAAGACATTTACGGAGAACCTGCTCTATACCTGTTTACCTCGCTTCTGGTGGTTGCATGTAATTCTTGGTGTTTTTTGGTTTATAATATGCAGAATTCCATTATCTGCCACTGTCTTCAAATTATGCCTTCTATCAGTGTCTGTCTCAAATCTTCTGTGTTGCTAAGGACACCTGTCATTAAATCTATAGGCCACCTTAAATTCAGAATGATCTCACAATCTTTAATTATATCTGCAAAGACTTCCTTTTTCAAATAAGGTCACATTCAGAACTTTCAGGGTTTAGGACTTGGACACATTTTTAGGGCACAACCATTACTCAACTAAGATGAAATTACATGGCAATCATTTCCCCCAAGGTCTGAGTTTGGCCAAAAAAAAAGGTGGGGGGGATGAAGGTGAGGTACAGAGTCAAAATTTCAGAGATGGAACAGTTCATAGGTATGACAGGTATTATCAGGTTCTTATTTACAGGGTCCTGGGAAAACCCAGCAGAAATACCAACCTCAAGGCCTAAACTCCATTGTCTTGGAAAAGAAGACTAATCTAAAGGATGGGTTTCAGCTGTGGTTAGAGGCCATAGCTAGAGGTCAATAGTATAAGAACACAATCAGTGAGGAACGTGAGTTTAAATCTCAGTAGTGAAGGAGTTCAGGAAGACTGAAATAGAATAAGGCTATTAGAGAGGAAAGAGAGAGGGGGTAAACAAAGGATATTACCTTGATCTTACTGCCTCAGATAGAGTTGGTCAGTCGGAAAGAACAGTCGTCAGTGAAACTTGTTTGTTCACTTAAGTCTCTCTTACTAGATGCTGGGTTCATTCTAGGACAAAAATAATGTCTTACTGAGTACTCAGCACAAGATTTAACTCATAGGAAATCTTAGTTGATTGAACTGAGTGTGTCATTTTGAATTGTTACCATTAACATTTAACAAATTTACTTTAAATGAAATGATTATATTACATATTTAGTAGATGTGATGACCAGTTACATTTTTTGCTTAAACTATGAAAAAATATATTGCTTTTGAATATATACTTTTAGTACTTTAGAAGACTTAGTCCTAAAAATATTTTAGAATTTCAAACATTGGCACTGAGAGGAGAGAAACAGAATTCTGAATGAAGTTTGGGAATAACAGTGATCTTCACTGAGTGCCTCTTTTGCAAGAAGAATAAGATGAGCAGAACACAAGATAGTCTCTACCTTTGAATGAAAAGAAAATCACAGTTGGGCAGTGTGGCACATCCCTTTAATCTCAGTGATCTGGGAGGCTGAGGCAAGAGGATTACAAGTTCAAGGTCAGCCTGAGGAATTGAGCGACATCCTATTTCAAACACATACATGCATACATACAAAAAGGACTGGGGATATTGTCCAGTGCTTTCTGTATGCAAGTCTCCAGTATCACAAAAAGAAAAATAAAAAGTTCACTGTGAAAAGGAGTTCACTGTGAAACAGCCTGTGTGGATTAATTTTCAATCAAATGCTCAGAGTTAAAGGCATAAGATCAAGCACTGATTGATTGACCAATTGATTGATCGATTGAGATGAGGTCTCACTATGCAGTCAGGCTAGACTTAAACTAATATTATAGCCCAGGTTGGCCTCAAACTCACAGTGATCCTCTTGCCTCTGCCTCCTGAGTGCTGGGATTACAGATATGCGCCACTATCCCTGGCTTGCTTTGGGGTTTAAGTAAAGGAGGGACAGGTTTAGATTTTTTAATTTAGAGCCATTACTTTAGCTGTGTGGAGTGTGGACTAAAGAAAGCAAGGCAAGAGGCTGTTGCAGTTAGATTCAAGAGAAGGGTCTCTGCTGATCTGATCTTTGGGCCAGCTTTCAGTGAAATTTTTTCAGGTTTGGAGTTAATCATATGGACTGGGAAAACTGAGGAATAAAGAGCTCACATATTTAAAGCAGGTGTTTACATATTTGGGGAAACGTACTTCCTCCAGGTGGCCTCTGATGACTGCATGTGCCCTAGATCATCACTGTCTTTGGGGTTCTCATAATGCTTTGTCAATTTATCATATGCCTGTATTATTTATTCGTTTGTTGGCTCCTCCTCTATTAATTCTGTACTCAATGTTAAGGATTCCGTTTTATTCATTTTTGTATCCCCAGTGTATGGAAGCATCAGTAAACATTTGCCAAGTGAATGAAGGGAAGGAGGAAACTAACTATGTCATGTTGTGGAAAAGGTAATGAATCTGCAGCCGTAACATGGGGTTCTAGTCTTGGTTGGGTTACTAAGTGGCTGCAGGACTTTGAACAAGTCCTTTCACTACTCTGGGTCTCAATTTCCTCATCTGTAAAATGAGAATAAAAATACAGCTATCCTTCTCAGGGTTATGGAGATTAAAAGAGGTAACAGAGTTTACCAGGTGCCTGCCCTGCTTGTGCCCTGCTCTTGTGAAACAGCCTGGACTATTGTTCCTGTCATTTGGATCTCATTTGTGTGCTTGCTCTCTCTCCTGGTAAAAGCCAAGCTGAAATCTGTTGCTTTGTTGGAGGGAAATTTTGTAGCAGTGGCATACACATTGTCCAGGTGGTCCCTATGTTGCTGGAAGGGCAGACATCAAAAGAAGGAAGCATGTTAGGCTAGAGAGATCTGCTTTTGTGATCCCTAAATCTGAAGGAAGACTCAAAGGGGGAAGAGTGAGGCATAGCAGATCTGTCATGTGCTGATGGGTCTAAGGAAGCCCTCAAATATTGCCCCCTAAGCCCAGGAATTTATTAGCATCTGGAGGAATGCGACTTTCTATGGACCCCACTTGTTCATGTAATGTCATGATCTGTAGGTGCCTTGGGCTGATATGATTAACTCTATCATAAATATTCAAGTATTAAGAAAGTTGAGGAGAGGTAAGAAATGCAAATGCCAAATAAAAGGAATGCTGTTCAGAGAAAAATAGAAAATTGTGATTTTAGGTACTGCTACTATCTCAAGAGATGACTATCAAATTCCCAGGTGAAATCTCTTTCGAGAAGATCCACTACCAATGCTCTTTTTGCACTATAAGGGCAAGCTTTTTATCAAAATTTGTTATATCTCTGATTTACAAGGTATGTGGCTAGGGAGGCCCTGAAATCTGCAACTGATAATCTTTAGTGTTCTCTGGGAGAGTCATTTATTAAATGAGTTTATTTAGCTGCATGTACTGGGGCTTATCAAAAGACAAAGTGGTCAAGGAAAGATGAAGAGAAAGGAAAAAGTAAAAGGAGATTGACACCAATGGAATTCCTCCCTAAAGGCTAAAGTCAGTCCTGGAGTCAAAGCAAGTAACCTTAGAGGGAAAAAAAAGTACATGTCTATTTTGCAAGGCTTTTAAAAAAATATTGCATGCTCAGATGGCACCTTTAATCACGGAGAACTTTTGGCTGAGTTCCAGGCTGATTCTGCTGGCACAGAGAACTCTGAGATCATACCGTATATTCAGAGCACAGAAGGAATACTTAACCTATCTCTGAAATAAAGAGGGGTAAATGGAATATATTTGAACAGTTTTATAATAAAACCATACCAAGTTGAAAAATGAAGGACATCCTGTCTGTTTGGAGTTACAGAAAGGTACCATTCTAAATACTTAAGTGGCTTTTTTTCTTAGAGTGTTTCATAACAAACTAAGCAGCTTGTATAAATTTGAAAACAATCTCCTCCACAGATATATAAACCAAGGCAGAAAAAGTTTTTGATTTACCTAAGACTACTTAAAAAAAAAAAAGAAAAAAAAAGGATGGGGCCAAAGGAAAAAATAAAAAGCAACTCCCAAAGTAGCAGGTTGTGACCTAGGAGTTTGAGCTCTTAGAGCTGAATTTAATCCACACCCAAGCCAAATATAATTCTCTAGCATGGAAATAGTCCAGGAAAACAGAGCTAACATTTTCTACCTTTGCCAAAGAGCCCAAGGCAGTTTGATGACAAGCAATCAGAACCTCACTTCTACTTCTCAACTGAAAGAAAGGCCAGCATTATCTAACAAGCACTCCCCACCATGGCAGTGCTGATACAAGCCCATCTGAAGGAAGCGTACTTTCCCTTTGTTCATCATGGCCTCTTGCATTAGTGTTATTCTTTGGAGATCTCCTGTTCAAATATTTATTCAAATTGGAGAGATGGGTAATATAATTTTAGGTAGCAAGGTTGAATCACAGATTTACTCTATGAGCTCATCTTGAGCATTTGATTATATACTATGCGACTTCTTCACTCGATCTGCTAAAGCCTTAGGTGTGAATTAAGGCCTGGTCATTGCTCTGTATTAGAAATTGGAACCCCATTTCTACTTGATGAAAATGGTCCAGTCAAAAGCTGCTGTGGAAATCTGAAAACCATTATCTTTTCTACACTTTGTTGCTTTACCCTCATTTTGTATGGGAATGCAGATGAACACCTGTGAACAAAAATAAACCACTTAGCCTTGACTGATCTGCTTTCTGAGTTAACAAATGTGAATACTTTTGGCTCCCAGATATGGTGAAGTAGAGACTGCTGAGAAGCCAGCCACAAATTAGAGTTAATCTTCCAGTATCATTCCACCTGAATGATTGATCCAGGAGATTAAAATTAATGAGCCCTTTCCCAAGTTGATCCAGCTTTTGATTTGCCTTTGGATTCCAAAAATGTACGAAAGCATTTTTCAGATATGTAAGGAAGAATCCCCCCCTTTTTTTCAGCTTAACCCTGCCCACCCATTTTTACCAGCTTTTTACCGCTTTACTCTCTACTCAGTTTATACACATTTTGACTGTTTTCTTCCAAGAACTGTCTCAACTGAGGCACCCTGAAGGAAGGCAGAACCACCTTGTGAAACAGGATGAAACGTGGCAACTCCATATAGCACAGCAGCTTTGGGTAGGAGGTTTTGCTAAGGCTTAAATCAGGTTGTCAACTCAAACACAATGGGCTTTGTTACTCCTGTGTAAAGAGGAAATGGAGCAGTTTTTGGCCTCCTCAGACTATATTGTAGGGCAGGATGGCAATTCCAGACACAAATCTACTTTTAGCTATTTAGTGTTCCCCAGCAAGTTAATTAGCTCTTTCCGAAATGCACGGAGATTTTTGGCATTTTCATACTGAAGCTCATCCCACAGCTTTAAGCTTGAGGGAAGGCCTGGGTGTGTAAGACAGAGAGATCTGTCAGGGAAACAGAATAGAGTCGTTTTGCCAAGAGATTCCAACACCCATGATTTGTCTCAGAAATAACACACGCACTGTAATTCCAAGATTTTTCTTTTTCCTCTGGCTTGAGCACTCCACCCTGACGGTCTGCTGAGATGCCTCACCATTTCAGGTGTGGGGAGTTAGCTCGGGGTTCAAAAGTCCTTGGGTGGGAAGCGCAGAGGAACTACGAATGCTTTCCTGAGAAATGCCTACCTGCTCTGGAGAGAAGCAGAGAGCGGCTCAGGTAAAGGCCGGGACGGTGGCACGGCCCCTTAGCACATCCTTTCCCTGAGCGGGAATAGTCCTCAAAGAGGGTTTGGCGACCTTTGCTTTATTTGACAACTTGTCGCGGGATGGAGAGGGCAGCCCTTGCATGGTGAAGAAGTCTGTGAGGAGGGACTCTGACTGGAGACCCTCTAGGGATCAGGCGAGCGTGCGCCCCCACCAAGTGACAGCAAGTGCCCCTCCACCTCCGCTCCCCTCCCCCGCGGCCAGTCTCCGGGCAGAGGTGTGTCTCGCCAGTCTGTCTTCCCCTGCTTCACTTGTCCAGCAGAACCGAGCCTCGGCGGGAGCCCCGCCTGTCTCTGGGCAGCTTGAGTCCCCGAGCGCTAGCCCAGCCTGTCAGTAACCGCCGTTTGCGCTTTCTTTCTTTCTTTTTTTTTTTTTTCCTCCTCCCCCCCCCGCCTTTGTCCCGCTTAGTAACTGGGCTTTGACCAATCACCGCTTCACCGGCCGGCGCCGGCTGCCTCCTGATTGGCTCGCTTGGGGCGCGCAGGGGTCTCCCGCTCCTCCGCTGGAGCAAGGCAGACAAAAGACGCAGGCTCCAGGCTCCGGCAACCAGGATCAGCCAATCACCAGCCGCCTTACCTCGCGGCCCCCCCCCTCCCCGCCTGGCTCGCGTGCTCTCGGCTTTGACTCCTGGCGGGCGGCCAGCGCCCGGACTGTACCATTCTAATTAAGGCTGGGGGCGAGGTTGGACGACTGATTAAGGAGCTGAGCTCTAGAGAGAGGCGGGGGTGGTTGAAACCCGGAGTAGAAGACAGCTGCTTGAACACTTTCTCAGGCACCAGAAGCTCCCTGTACGTCGAAGCGTGGTGGAGTGAAAATGCGGTAACGTTGCTGGGTATTCCCCCCTGCCCGACGCGGTTGGGCGGTGCCGGGGGGAGGCAGAGAGGGCGGGGGAGAACGTTCCCAGGGCGCAGTTAAAATGAAACTCTAGTGGCTGGAGTCAGGGCAGAGCGTGAGGAGGTCTAGCGCTAGCGTTGGTGCTCGCCCCCGGGCGGGAGCGCCCAACCGAGCCGAACTGACTTGGACTTTCCGACGGGCGCCAATCCTGAAGCTGCGGCAGCTACGGTTCCGAGCCGACGGAAACGGAGTCTGAGTCCCGGCCACTTCGGGAATCTCTCTGCGGACCAGTGGGACCCCGAAACTTGAACGCAATCCCCAGCCCCTTTTTTATGCCTTCCTTTGTCACGTCCCTAGCTTTCTCCCAAGGTGTTTTTTCCCCTCTTCATTCTCCAACTGAAGGACACAAAAGTGGCTTCTGCAGAAAGATTTGGAGGCGGCGGAGCTTTTCTCTTTTCTCGTTGGAGAGTGATTGTGCAGAAAGGATTTGGGGAAGCCTCTTTTTAAAATTACTGTCCTCCGGCTCCCAAGCGAGTCTAACCTTCTGAAGAGAAAAACCCACAAGCTTGAAAGTTCGGGTGGTATTTTGCTGGGTGCTGTAGGAGAGAGGAGAGGACCCTATTCCTGTTCTGGTCCTGATAGCTGGATTTGGACCGGCCGTTAGAAACCCCGAAGTAGATTTCCGCGTGGAACTTTTACACATATATTTTTCAGATTTTAAAATATTAGACAAAAGATATATATGCTTTCCATATATATTTCCTGACGACCTGCCCCTGACAGCGCGATGTACAATACGGTGTGGAGTATGGACCGCGATGACGCAGACTGGAGGGAGGTGATGATGCCTTATTCGACAGAACTGATATTTTATATTGAAATGGATCCTCCAGGTACTTGGGAGAAAAAATCTTGTGATGGGTCTGATTTGTGTTTAACAAGACCATGGTGATATTTTCAGGGCAGAAATGTTCTGGGTGCGCAGGGTTTGGGATGAGGGGGAGATTTACAGTTAAGAGCTGCAGTAAAGCTGCTTCTGGTTTACAAGATTAAAGTTTGGAGTTGGGACCCCAATCCCATTGTCCTGTGAAGGTGGGGGTGGGCGCTAGAGTGAGGGTGGGAAGAAAGACCCGGTTTTGCCCTTGCTCGTAGTTGTGGTTTTTGTTGGCTCTTCAACCCCCGCCTCCCATTGAAGACTCTTCTACCTGCAACGATGTTCTGTATACCACTCTTCAAGTCAGTCTTTCCTTTTGGGGGAATTCTTTAAAGCTCATCATTTCATATATTTGTTTGATTTGGTTCTTTGTGTTTTACTTTGGTTAACTTCAGAAACTGAGTTGCTTGTGTGGATTATTCATTTTAAGATTACCATTTTCTTTTACAGAAACCAAGTGCCGGTTAGTGATTTTCAGGGATTGGACATTCTTACTCAGTTGTGGCGTTAGGTTTTTGTCTTCTTAGAATTCAGTCACTCAGAGAGATTTACGTGCAATATTTTATTCTTTAATTTATGGTGATTTAGTTTATGGGATAGAGTTTAATATAACTTTAACTCTTTGAGTTAGAAAAAGACTATTGATATGTACATATATGTGATAGTTCCTGTATACATATGAAGTATACATATACTGTATTTTTATTTTAGAGCTAACAGTTAAGACTGTTACAGACATTTTGTGTATCTGGTAGTTAAAGGGAAAGAATGGAAAATGAAAAAGTTTTTTTTTAAGTCCCCCTCATTTTATGGTTTTTAGCTGTCAGATTTTCAAACCCTGTTTGCAATTACAGACAGTGCTTTATGTAATGATTTTGAGTAAGCAGAAGGCCTTTGTGACTTTTTGTTCAGAATGATTTTATTAAGTCTTTAAAAAAATTTTTTTAAAGTGTGTTAAAACCAAGCCTACAGAATAAATTGTGTGTCATTAGGGAACCTCATTATAAGACTTTATTTTTGGAAATGTTTGAAAGGATTTGAGTACATGCAAGTGTAATGAAGTATAATTGTCCTATAGAAGTTAACTTCTTGTGTCCTTGCAAACAGTGAATTACCCTCTTTTTAAAATTAGTGGTAGTATTAAATGATGTTCTACTAAAAACTAATACCAATGTGGAAAAAACCTTTTCTGCTCTTATTGATTACTCAAATTTTGTATTTTTCTTCATTTTGGAGCATTCATTTCCTTTTATAGTTGTGACTGCAGTCCAGATGCAGCTTTTCTGTTTTGCAAAGTTTGTAAGATTTGCCACCCATCTATTGTGTGTTTCCCCCTTTGTTTCACTCTAATGGTGAACCATCGCTTCTGCATTTGTCATTCATGTGCTTAGAAATTTAGTGTATCACTGAAACTTCTCTCATAAAAGCTGAGGTTAATAAATTTCTATAATTGTAAGATTTATATATTTAAACTGTCTCAGAATCATACTGTGTCATACAGTGTTTTGCCTTTTAGACATACAAAGGGAATTCATTGGGTGAGGAGGTAAGGAGAGGAGAAAATGAAAAAGGGGCTAATGGTTGAAAAATAATTAGCCTAGTAGAAAAATACTGAGTTGAGTTGTCCAAAAATAATTTTAAGACAAGTTGACTGTTATGTAAAGATGTGTTATATGTAGGGATGTTATAAGATTGTGTAGAAAATCCCGATCCAAACTTTATTTCCTGTGGAAACAAACTTTTGAGTTTAAAATGTTTTCCTTGAATGAAATTGTACATAATGAGATTCTATTCAGAATGCTGAAAGTATGTGTATGCTGTTCTTTATTATCCTTCTTGTGTCCTTAATATAGATATGGTTAGTTATTTCTAACAGCTTTTTAAAAAGGAACCACATGAGCGTGCTCAGACATTGTTTATCCAATGAATTTTTAATAGTAATAACATGAATACTAACTTTGTCTTATATGATAAATTGTGTTTTGAACACTAAAAAGTGTAAGTAAATCATCAAGTGTGAAGGGGTTGCAAGTATGTTTTGTGTTTGTCGTTTTCCTAACTCTGACACCACATCAGCTTTATTATTCCTGTCTGTACCGGTATGGTAGCACACTGTTTTCCTATTTCTACTTTGTCCAGTTTACAGTATAGTAGGTCTTTGACTTAACAAACATTCGAGTTGCAAACTTTCATAGGTATACTACATAAGACTGTGTTGGCTTATGAACGAATCTGACTTACAAACAGTTCTGCTGGAACAGAACTTGTTTGTAAGTCAGGAACTTGCTTAGTTTAAAGTACCATCTGATGATTTATCTTCCAATAATTTTCTAATGGTTTTAAAAACCTTCCAATGGCTTCCTTTTGCCTACTTAAAAAAAGAAGAAAAGTCCTAGATTGCTTATCTTGTCATGTAAGTCCCTCTTATTTTTGTTTCTAACCTAATTTTCCAGTTGGTTCTTTTCCTAGAGTCCACAGTGATATCTGTAGAAACTATTTTGTGTTTGGTGTGTCTTACCTACTTTGTCTTCTTTTTGGGATGCTTTCATTGGGATGCCCAATGTTTACTTGTTGAAATCATACATGTTAGAACCCGGGTCAGATACTGTCTTTGCCAGGTTAAATGTTCCCTGATCTCTTCTATTAGAAGTTATCCCCCTATCCCTTTTCCTCCTTCTTTTAGCACTTCTCAGATGGAATTTTTTCCATTATTTTTAGAGTAGCGTCTAAATTTTATTTCTGTATACTTCTCCCTATAGAATTGTCTTTCCATTTGGTTAGAAGCTTCTTAGCTTGTACAGGATCTTGCAAGTAGTAGACAATCAATACATGCTGAATTGAGTAGGAACACTTTTTCTTTCTAGACTTTAGGTATTTTTCTACTTAAGATCTTTGGACATCTCATTCTTGGCTATTACAATAGCCTAGAGTTAAGTAACCTTTTTTTCTGAGACAGAGTCTCATTGTGTAATATAGGCTAACCCTAAACTCATAGTGATCCTCCAGCCTCCCTCTCCCAAGTGCTGGGTGCAGGGCTTTTATGAGTGTACAACCACACTTGGCTCTTACATAACTTTTGAGGTAGACATCTGTTTACCCCCTAATTTGCCCCCTGTTGGCCCCCTAATTGTAATAGTACCAGTATATATATATATTTTTGGTACTGGGGATAGAACTCGGGACCTTGTGCTTGTGAGGCAGGTGGCGGAACCACTGAGCTAAATCCCCAGTCCATTACCAATCTTTTAAATATATTTTTTCATCTTAATTATAGACTGAACCATAAATGTAAAATTTCTTTTTAAAAAAATGGTTCTAGGGATTTAAACTAAGGACTCATACTTGCTAGGCAAGTGCTCTGCCACTGAGCAGTGCTCTGCCACTGTCCTTTTTTTTTTGTACCAGGGATCAAACTTGGGACCTTGTGCTTGTGAGGCAGGCTGTGGAACCATTGAGCTAAATCCCTGGCCCCTGCCACTGTCCTTTTTATTTTGAGAAATGGTCTTGCTATATTGCCATGCTGGCCTCATACTTGTGATCCTTCTACTTTACCCTCCTGAGGACAGAATTTCATGCGTGTGCCATTGTGCTGGGCCCATAAATGCAAAATTTTTATCTATTAATTTTCT